ATGGGAGTTTTGGGCCCTGAAGAATAGTGTATGTGTCAAATACGGGAATAATTCATATGGCACGATCAAAGGCTACGAAATGATCACAAATGGTGAATTCTTAATCCGTAAGGTAGCATATGTAGAGGGATTGCGACACACTCTCACCAGTGTCTCTCACTGGTTGTTGGAACTGGCTTGGAGGTTTTGTTAGATGATGAAGGTTCAGAGATTGTTGAATAGAAGACGAAGATTGTCCTATTAAAATCCAAGAGAAAAGGAGAAATGTATCCTCTAAATCTTAACCCAATTCGAGGAAAGCTAGTTGTATGCCTTTTAACGAAAGCACACTCTGACGAAAGTTGGCTATGACACCGAAGGCTCTCACATCTCGACTTTAAGGATATCAACAAGTTGGTTATCGGTGACCATGTATGAGGACTTCCACTTCTCAAATTTGATAAGGAACACTTGTGTGCTGCATGCGAGATAGGAAAGCAAAGCCGAAAGCGTCAACCCACTCATTTTAACACAAATATCATTGAACCACTTGAACTTCTACACATCAACTTGTGTGGTCCTTTAGCAATCGAAAGCATCGGTGGTAGTAAGCACATTTTAGTAATTGTTAATGACTTTTCACATTACACCTGGGTTTTCTTTCTTAAACAGAAATAAGAGGCGACTTCAAAGCTCAAAGCATTTATAAAACAAGTGGAACTTCAACTACGAAAGGTGGTTAGAAATGTCTGAAGTGACAATGGGCTGGAATTCAGAAATCAAGAGTTCTACGAATATCTTGTCGATAAGGGGAGTGTCTCACAACTTCTTTGCTCCGTACACTCCACAACAGAACGACATAGTTGAAAGGCAAAACCGCTCTTTGTGTAAAGCAGCTTGAACGATGCTCAGCTTCACCTCGTTATAATTGTACTTCTGGGCTGATGCAATAGCTGCTGCCTGCTATACCCACAACCAATCCTTCCTCAATAAGCGATTTTCCATCACTCCATACGAAATCCTGAATAATCACTAGCCAAATGTAATGTTCTTCCATGTGTTCGGTTCAAGGAGCTTTATTTTCAATTCCAAAGAGAACCGAAACAAGTTCAATGTAAAGGCAGATGAAGGGATTTTTCTTGTTTACTCGCTAACTTCAAAGGCATATAGGGTTCTCAATAAACCTTCAAAGAAAATTGAAGAAATCTACTATGTCACCTTTGATGATGATTACGTGAAGAAACTTCAATCAAGCAAAGGACCAATGGAGGAAATCTTTCCAAAATCAGGTCAAGTCTCGGTCCCAATTTCCAATCTATTTGAAGAATAAATGTTGCTCTTTGATGAACCAGAGAGTGCAATTCATTCTGAGACAAAGGCAGCTGACAACATGATCGGAAACTTGAAGAAAAATATCAATGAAGCAACAAAAGAAATGGAAAGCAACCCTCATGGACCAACCGAATAGCCAGGTCCAAGAGAACCTCCAAAAGAAAGTTCTATATTCCAGGGGGAAAATACATTACTAGGAAAGACCCATGAAGTTCCATTCGAGGGGGAGAAATATGACCCTGATGTTGGAACCGTCTCATCATTCGAGGGGGAGAATCCATCATCAACTTCAAACCATGAAAGTCCAATCGAGGGGGAGGAGTATGAACTAGATGTTGAATAGTTTCGTCATTTTAGGGGGAGAATAATAAAACAAATGACAAAGATTCTCAATCAGAATTTGAAGAAGAAATACATGCTGAATTGGATCCTGCTTATGATCCAAATTATCCTCCACTCATTAAATGGACACACGATCATTCAAAAACTTAAGTAATTGGCGAATCATCTGAGAGAGTTCTCACATGCTCTCAAATGAAAGCGAAGCAAACTGCTTTATTCTCTCAAGTAGAATTTTTTATGTTTAATTCCTTTGTTTCCAAGATTGAGCCAAAAACAGTGAATACTGCACTTGATCACTCTGATTGGGTTCAAGCTATGCAAGACGAACTCAATGAGTTTGAGCGAAAGTGGGCTTGGAGGTTGATTGCCACACCTAAAGATGCATTTGTAGTCGGGTTAAAATGGGTTTTCAGAAACAAGATGGACAAAGAGGGAAATGTTATTTGCAACAAAGCGAGGTTGGTGGTGAAGCAATACTATCAGGAAGAAGGGATAGACTACAAAGAGACTTTCACTCCAGTAGCAAGGTTGGAATCGATGCAAGTCTTTCTAGCATATGCTCCACAGAAAAACTTTGAAGTATTTCAAATGGATGTCAAGTGTGCCTTCCTGAATGGAGAACTAGAGGAGACTATATATGTTGAGCAACCACCGTGTTTTGTGAACGAATGCTATCCTGATCATTGGTATATTCTGGATGAAGCCGTCTTTGTTTTGAAGCAAGATCCTAGAGCCCGGTATGAAACCCTTACTCGATTTCTAAAAATGTCCAAATTTAAACTAGGTTCGGTTGACCCAACCGTCTTTCGCAAGAAAGAGGTTGACCACTTAATGATCATCCAAATTTACGTCGATGACATCATCTTCGGTTCCACGAATCTCAGCCTAACGGATGAATTCAAGAAGTTGATGGAGAATAAGTTTGAGATGGGCTCAATGGGTCAAATTAACTTTTTCCTTGGCTTGAATATTAGACAGGGACCCGAAGGCATATTTATCAATCAGGAGGTATACACGAAGACCCTGCTGGCTAAGTTTGGCATGATGGGAGATTCCATAGTAAAGGTTCCTATGACATTTGGAACGAAGTTAACACCATCTTTGGAGAACCCGGCTGTTAATACGATCCGTTATCGGCAAATGATAGGGTCTCTAATGTATCTAACAGCTAGTAGACCAAATATTATGTTTTTTGTTAGTTATTCTGCCAGGTTCCAAGCTAATCCACGCGAGCCTCATATGGTGGTTGTTAAGAACATCTTTAGGTATTTGAAGCGAACCTCATCTCTCGGTCTGTGGTATCCTGCTAAATTAGGATTTTTCGTTCAAGCATTCTCTAATGCTGATCTTGGAGGATGCAGTTTGGACCGAAAGAGCTTTACATGCGGATGTCAATTCCTCGATGGTAAACTCATCAGCTGGCAGTCCAAGAAACAAACATGTGTTTCACTATCTACAATTGAAGCTGAATATATTGCTGCAGCATCTTACACTTCCCAGGTCATTTGGATCCAAAGCCAATTAAGAGATTATGGCATGAACATGAAGAAGATTCCTCTTTATTATGACTCAAAAAATGCTATTTGAATATGTCACAACCCAGTGCAACACTCTAAAACGAAACATATCATACTGAGATATCACTTCATCAAAGATCACGTTGAAGATGGTAACGTTGAAGTCCACTTTGTTCGATCTGCTAATCATCTAGCTGATATTTTCACAAAATCCTTACCTAAAGCAAGTTTTAATAAAATTCTCCAAGGCTTAAGAATGATGGAAGTTGAGGCAGTACTGAAACCTCTTTCACCTCATTAAAATTGGTCAAGCGAAATAGAGTGAACACTTGGTCTTTTTCGGTTCCGGAATTTTCGAAGACCGAAATGAACTGAACGTTCGGTCCATGTCGCTTCATTATTTCTAAGGTACAGTTTCGGTTGTATATTTTGTATGTCCTTGTTTATTAATTTTATGTTTTTTTCTTTTCATAAAATCGAAAAATATTTTCCTTTGTGCTTTTATTTCTTTTCAGAAAATTCCTAAAATTCCAAAAATATTTTCTTTGCTTTGTTTATTTTTCAATAAAATCAAAATACCAAAAATATTATCAGAATGGATTCATATACATCTTCCAATGCAGTAGCTGGGGCAGGTATATTTCTCTTTATCTTTGTGCTAGTTAAGTGTACCTAGAAGCATGCTACTGTATGTTGAGTGAAACTCCAAAGACTTCTAGTGAAGCCTTAATGATTCGATATACACAAATCGATTCACTACTAGAAAAACAGCCTTTTACGATGCTCATTGCGCGTCGTAAAGGGCTCAGACGACGCACAAATGCACGTCAAGGAAGGCCCTGGCATAAAGAGAGACGATGCGCTGTTGCGCGTCGTCTATAGACGACGCGCATTTACGACGCGCAATTACGATGCCCAATGCGTATCAAGAAAGACCCTGTCATAAAGGAAGACGATATGCATTCGCGTGTCATAACCTTACGACGCACGTGTTAATGACACACAATGCGTATCAAGAAAGCCCCTGTCAAGAAAGACCATGTCATAAATGAAGACGACACACATTTTTGCGTATCATAATTTTAAATGTTTTAAAAAAATTATTTATAGATTTACTAATTTTCAAATTAAATTTCCATTTCATGTCTCATAATAAAAAATAAAATACCATATACAAAAAATATAATACATTGCACTTGTTAATGTCATACAAATAATCATTCCAATAGTAGACAAATGGATAAATCTCAAAGGGATCAAAAATATGTTTGTCTTCTAATAGAACTTATACACAAGAAAGTACTGAATTTGCTATTGAACTTATACATAAGAAGAAGGTGTTTGAATTCAGAAAATGTCTCAGCAACTGAATTGGCCCCAGAAGCTTGTGGTTTGACTGCAACTAAGATAAGGATACCATGTTTACTCTTCTTAAGCTTACTAAACAAACTTGACAATAAGATAATATAAAATTGAATTATTATTAAGATTAAGCCATAGATGCACTCAAGCTATACATACCAATGGTGATGGTCTTTCATCAGCTGCACGTGGAAACCCACTACCATAAACAGAAGTATCAAAAAACTACTTTATTAAAAAAAACTCAGATTACTATTGTAATCATAATAAAACACACCGATTATGTATAGTTTTATACAAGAAATGTTCCAGATCATTATTTTAGTAATAATGAATAAGAGAGGATACATTACTTACTTTATACTGGAATAACTCATAGAGATCTTTTCTTAAGTTGTGATACAGTTCATCCAATGAAGGTTCCATGAAGAACTCCAAGTATCCTCCCAACATTTTCAAGTGCCCATCCTATTTCATATCATGAAATGGAATGGGATCAAAAAGGAATGGAGTAAGAAAAGGTAATAGACTCTCTATATCGCCTTTTGAGATGCTTCCAACAAACAGTAGCATGACGGAATCGGAAACAACAGTCGTATCCAGGAGAAAAACAGAGTTCGCTTTGATCTTCTCATCAAAGACCAACCACGGGAATGGAATTCTCAAAGCCCGGGAATTAACCGAGTTCTATAGCATTAAAAAAACAAACTCAGATTAAAAAAAACTATAAGAATTTAGAAAAACAAACTTACCGAGTGTAAAAGCACCTGATCATCCGCCACGTTTTTCAGCAAGAATGAATTTTCATTATGCTGATGTCAACAAATGCGAGTTATTATTTATAAAGAAATTGTTTAAAAACAAAAGGGAAAATGACTTTTCCTTCTAAGAACTTATGTCATCCCACCTAATCATAAATACCAAAACTGCCCCTTGCTTTTCACTCCCACATATACTCAATAGTAGAAACTCAATGAGATTGAATCCCATGAATTCATGCAATCAGGATTCCAGCATCACATAGAATCCCATGTCTGTGGACTATAGCCTCTAAAGTCAGTGTACACAAGTAAATTCCAGTAGTCCTTTACAGTTCTCAGCTCATCCACTTGTGACTTGCAACTGATCATGATTACTGACTGTAACAAAAAGAAAATTTTATATTTTTAACAAAGAGAGAGAAAAAGAGAACCTTTAGCAGCATCATATCCAAGGTCGGGGTTATCTTGCTCCAATAGTTTCCCAATAACAACAACACCCTCTACTCATGCATTCGCAGCTACTGTGTACACCAGTGCCTTCACATACAAAATCAATAAACAATAAAATATCAGCAACAAAAATAGATATACAATAAAACTACACTGCTAGCTGCTTTTTATTAGGAAGAAGGGGGAATTACCTTGAGAGCATTTTGAATTATTTGAACACCAATCTTCTGATCAAAATTAGCTGTATAAGATTATCAAGCTCCTTTGAAGCATATAGAAGAGCAACACCACCACCTATATTATATTGTATATTTTTTGATATCATTATCACAATTAAAAATAAATACTTAGTAAATAGCATGTGTGGACATGATTTAATCTACCTGGCACAATTCCTTCTTCAACTGCAGTCTTTGTAGCATTTAGAGCATCAGTAACTCTATCCTTCTTCTCACCAACTTCAGCTTCACTCGCTCCGCCAATCTGACCAATCACAGCAACACATCATTTACATAACAAAATTATTTAGAAATAAAACAAAAATAAGAATCGTCCCCTCAAAACGGCAACACCACCAGAATTTTTTGCTAATCTCTCTTGGAGCTTCTCCTTATCATAATCAGAAGTGCTCAATTTAATTGATGATCTCAACTGTAGAAACACAAAATAGTACATGTTAGGAAGCTCAGGTACATAAATTAAATATATTATTAAAAAGCTATTGTAATACCTGTTCACATCTTTCTTCAATTCCTTTTTTGTCGCCAACCCCATCAAGAATAAATGTGTCATCCTTGGATATTGTAAACCTAAATGTAAATATGTAATGTTCCAAACATTATTACCATATATTGCATACATAATCTATTTGGGAAAACTAGAGTTGTAGATGTAAAAAATAAATGCTTACCCTAAAATTGATAAAAAGGTGTGCAACTCAGGGGACTAAAACTGATAAAAAGGTGTGCAACTCACGGGCCAAAATTGTATTTTACTCTAAAAAGTCATTGAAAAAGTTAAAACAAGGGCAAAACGATAATTTTAACAAGCTTACTTCATTAATTTATTTAGCTGATTTCAGACGCACGCCAAATCCGTAGCCTGAAGGGGTCTTTTCTTAAAGGTCTTAAAGATTCAACCGGAAGAGCAGCTTTAATATCCTCGAAAATTATTTTAAGAAACTGAAGAATTTCACAAGCTTTCCCAGTTAATTTTGGTAAAGACAAGCAATTATTTCCGATTATACCCCCATGAACTTCACACGGTTTTTTTCCAATTATACCCTCAGTCTCACACTGATGAGTTGCTCATTAGTTGAAAATGTGTAGTGGCATGAAAAACAATGGTTTCAAGTAGGTCACACTAATTCCAAGCACTCACACCGGAATATTTCCCCAAATTTCTATTCCATTTCTGCCCTTACATTTGTGGAATAAACCGATGACCTGAACTGAAGTGCAACTTGACCCACAATGTGATCATCATTTAAATCATTGGGTTTGTTCCTTTGCCATTTTTTAATGTTTTCTTTCAGTTGTTTTTCTTTTGGATCATCATCTTCCAGCCATTCACGTAGAGCCTCAATTTCACCATCTGATTCATAGCAAACCCATGCACAAGAAGAGTTTGTCACGATCACATCCTTCTTCACACTCACACCTATCATAAAACAATAAAAAAATTATAAATAAAATTTAATTATGTTTCATTTTCTACCATTAACAGCTTCGTAACATGTAAATGGAGACAAGACTCAAACAGAGATGAGGCTTCATGGTACACCCTTTACCCTTCCTTATATTAGTTATGTTTAAATGCAAATAAATAAATAAATAAATAAATAAATAAATAAAGCCTGGATCTGCTACTTTATGAGAGAATTCATTCCCCAATGTTTCATCATTTAAATGTTTATATATAAGAATATTGACAGCAACATGCTCACCAAGGTACTCTCCATGGAATCTTTCAACAAACAAAATAACTGATATTAAGGTACTTGTAAGAATTAGGAATGCAATTGGAAACAAACAGTGTACACGTACAAATCACCACATGATCCAGATGCAATCTTTTCTCCAATCTTCAATGATGCTCTGTCTATTTCTGCATCTCCAAAAGTTGGTCCGCTGCAAATCGAGATATAAACTGATAGGTAAGGATCAGAACAGAAATTTAAGTCAAAAATCATAAAGAATGTCAATGAGGCAATACATCGAACACATTATGTGCACTTACAAACCACAAATGGAATCATCAACAAAGAAATAGAAAGAAAGGAAAGGAGTATTCATATCAGATAATGAGAAACAATGAAGATTTGGAAGCGAATTAAAAAAACATTAGATGAAGGCCAAATGAAGAACTAGAAAATCATAACAAAAAAATCCACAGAAAATTGGATTGAAGAAGAGATGAAGAGAATGATCAATTACTTGAGGAAATCTTGTACCTTCTTAACTAAATTTACAATGAGGAAGGCGTGATTGGGAAGACGAGATGATGCTCTTGTGGTCGCAGTGAGGAGGAGAGAAGTGGCAGCGTAGGGAAGTGTCGAACAGGTGAAAAAGAAGGAATCGTGCTTTGCTGATTTAAAGAGGAAAAAGTGCTTCACTCTCATTTATTTTTATAAAAACGTGCGCAAGCAGCGATTGGAAGAACTTGCGATATATACATATTTGATTGAACTTCCGATAACAACAAGCAGCGATTGGAAGAACTTGCGTATTTAAAATCTTATGGGAAAGTACTTGATTGTATATTTAAAAAATAAAATGACTTTTAACAAAAATTTGGAAAGACAAACCACCCAAATCAGAAAAAACTCTTACATAAATCAAACCATGTGATCTTGATAGAAAAATAAAAACTAAATACAAATTAGGGCTCACATAATCAAATCTTGAAAATGAAATCACCTTAAATAAAATGGTGGAGCAGGTATCCTTAGAGCATTTGAGTTTAGGTGACCGACGTTTGTCTCGAGGAAGGGACAAGAATCGGTAAGTGCCAAAGGGATATAGGAACGGAAGGAGGCGAGATCTAGGGTTCGAGTATGAGATGTAGAATGGTGGAGTTTCTGTTGAGTCGTGGTCGCCATAGAGATGTAGAATGGAAGGAGGCGAGATCTAGGGTTCGAGTATGAGAAATAATTATTATAGAGTCGCCGGTGATTGGATATCATCAATCGTACTCCAGACTCTCAGATCCTTGTGTTCGATGGTGAAGGCGCCAACTTAGGATTTGCAAAGAGAAGGGAAGGATAGAGTGATCGGGCGGTGGAGATGTAGAAGAAAGAACGTGCAGTAGAGGAAGGCGGGGCAAGTTCTTGAAAAAAGCCCTAAAAAGGGGAGGCGGGGTTTTTAAGTAATTGGGATTTCATTTTTCCCTCCGGATGGAATGCGCTGCTATTAAAATTTATAAAGCGAAACCCTTAGATGACACACGTTTTATTATAGGTGCCCTCCGTGTTTTTTTTAGACACTAATTCCATGGCACGCAAAAATGCGTGTTTTAAATCCTTTTAATTTTAAGAGAGATAACATTATTTTTAGGGCACCCACAAATGCGCGTCCTCTATCAGCGAGTGTCATTGTTTGCACATCATTAAAGGGCTTTTTTCTAGTAGTGATTCTTCCCACACTACAAGAAAAAGACCCTTTTACGATGCACAAATTACGACACTCAATGATTTATGTTACGCAAAAGAGAGTGATATTAAAAAAAGTGTCATCTATTAAAAAAATTGAAGGATTTAGGTCACACATTATTGCGTGCCCTTAAATTAGTGTCAAAAGAAGAAAAATTAAAAACACGGAGGGCGCTGCATCTTAAATGTACGCCCTCTATAAGTTTCACTTTATATTTTTAATGAAAGGCGCGTTTAATAGATACGGGGGAAATGAAATCCCTAAAATTTTGAAAACCCGCTTGAATTTCTCTCCATTTCTCTCTCACGATCATCCGCAACCCTAGCTACCTTAATTTCTCTCCATTTTTGTCTCTCATGATCGAAGGACAAAACAAGACACAAATTTCACTTGCAGAAGAGTTGGTGATTTCTATCCATTTCTCTGTGAGTTAGGAACAAAGACACATAGAACGTAAAAGAGGAGGAAAAAGACACACACACACATTGTGTGTGAGGTGCGGTTGCCACAACTTTCACTTCCAGAAGAGTTGCTAAGAATTGGTGATTCCATCTAGGGTTCGACAAGCTTAATCACTATCTCGACATCTTACCTCCTACATCGTATTTCTTCAACCATTCATGACCATTCTAGAGCTTAACATGTTCTTTAGCATTCTAGGGTTCGACATCTGTTGAGATTCTTTAACATTGTTCACTAGCCTTCTAACCTTTCTCTAGATAGGCATCGACTCCAAGGTAAGAATAGATTTGTTACTTTACTTTATACAATCCTATCATCGATTTGGTTTAATTTCATTTTCCATGCTTTAATTCTCGTCTATTCATAATGAAAATTTATGCATTCTAGCCATTCGATGAAATGCCTGACTTAAATTAAACAATTCTAGAATCAGAATAAGAATTGTTAATGTCTTTTAAATAAACGTATCAAAAGCATCTTCCTTCACGTTTTTTGAAAAACGTATTGGAAGATAAATTAAATAAACAAATATAAAAAAAAGGTTTTTCCATATTTTGGTATATTATGCTAATTTTCCTTCGCTCCTTTTTTGGAAGAGATGGTGTATGTTTTGCTTATATACAAGTCTTGTCATTTTGACTTACTGATCACATACATGTTTGACTTTTAAATGACTTGAAGTATCAGGAATCCTTATCTTGTTATTTTCACTTACTGATCACATAAATGACTTAAAGCATGAGTAAGTAAACTTCACTTATATTCTGCATTTGATTGTTCATATTACACGTCTATACACTTCATAGCAATTATCTTGGGTTTCTTTATGTATAGTTTTAGTTGTTCCTGGTTTGTAGGTATAAGGAAGTGTAAAGGGTGTACCATGAAGCCTCTTATCTCTTTTTGCCACCAGGTATCCGATATTGGACACCTTGATCTCCAACTACATTGAAAAACCACCTGTCAAGTGAAGTCAATAAAAGGAATTTTAGGATGAAGTGCATCCAATACAATAAAAATCTTTTTTAAAAAAAAATGAAAGGTAAGTTGGGAAAGAATCTCTGGGGTGAAGAATTAGTTATATTAGCGAAAGCCTCAATGGAACCAGCTGTAACATATGTAAAACAAGTGCTTGATATCATAAGCAAGGCGAGCAATAAGGGTATAAAAGGAATTGCACACATACCAGGTCGCGGGTTCATAGATACTATTTGTCGTGTTTTCGGTATAGGGCTTGGTGCTCTTGTTTATAACGACTCTTGTTCGGTTCCCCCTGTTTTTAAATGGATCCAAAAGGTATTTAAGTTTTTTTTGGTATTAAAAAAAGTTGGTTATTTGTTTTTTTCTAATGATGTTTCTGGTTTTGCCCCTTTTCAGGCTAGAAAGATTGAAGATGGTGAAATGAAAAGGACTTTTAATATGGGAATTAGGATGGTTTTGGTTGTTAGTAAAGAGGTTTCTGAAAGGGTAGTTAAGGAAGAAGGTCAGATGGTGTATTGTGTTGGTGAAGTCTTTTCAGGTAACAAACAATTTGACATCATTACCCTTGAGTAGTTTAAAAATGGTTCTGAATTGTTTGATGTTTTGAATTTTATTACTGGGGGAAAAAGTGGAATCCACTCCGTGAGAGGTTAGATAGCTATGATTTTTTTATTAAAGAACAACTGTATGTTTTTCTGGTTTTTTTTTCTACTTAGTTCACTAACAGACATTACAGTTAAACTATCTATAGCTAGCTTTAATTTTCTATAGTTTTTGTTCCTACAGTTTTGGTCCTTGTACAGTTTTTGTCACTCTAATAGTTTTAGTCCATGTAACATGTTGCAACAGTTTTGGTCCATGTGCTTTTGTCTCATTTATAGTTTTTAACCATGTAACAACTGCATTAATTTTTCCTTGGCAATATGTTCACCAAATGATTAAAAGTTCTTTAAAGTGTTCCTTGTGGTATATCTTTATTCTAAGTCATGAATATTTTTGATTCAATAACTATGCCAGATTCTCCACGTGATTCAGTTCAATTTATTGAATGGTCACCTTCATCTTGCCCTCGTGCCTTGCTAGGTACCATGTCACTTTATTTATAACTATTTCAATAAAAAAAACTAACAGTTTCTATATATACAGTATAAGTAATGTTGCTTTGTTTTTTTAATTGCAGGATGGAAAGATTGAAGCTGAAGTTAAACTTACTGGAATCTTAAGCTGAGGAGCATTACAACCAGGAGAAGTTAGAAAATATGGGACTACAAGTGCACCAGGACTATATGCACCACTTAACCAACATTTTTTTGTTGCTAGAATGGACATGGCAGTTGATTGTAAGCCTGGAGAAGCATACAATCAGGTTTGGAATTTTACCTATTATTTTTTTTAAAGAAAACTGAGACCATTTAATAGTCTTACATATGACACAAGCATCTGTTGTGTTTTTGTATTTTTAGGTTGTTGAAGTTGATGTTAAAGTTGAAGAACCAGGAAAAGACAATGTTCACAACAACACATTCTACCCACAAGAAACACTGCTTAAATCCGAATCACAAGCAATGTGGGATTGTAATCTGTTATCTGCTTGCCATTGGATCGTAAGTCTATTTATTTTTAAATTAAATGGATTCCATATTTTCAAACTTTTTTTCTTTTTGTAATTTTTATTTGAATGAATTCCAAAAATATCCAGGTGAGAAATACACGAACGGTGAATAGGACTGAAAAATTGCTAACTTTCATGGGAGAATAACTATCTGGATTCAGCCTTCCCATGTAAGCTTTTCCTGCTTTACTTCTAGTATCTCCTTTCATTATTTGAGTACATCTTACTCCTGCTTACCTCATTCTTTTGGGAGTTGTTGTTTTTGTATGAAAGTAAGACTATTGGTTTAATGTTTATTTTTCTTTACTGGAAAAAGTATTTGTAGAAAAGATTACCCATTCTTTCTATTTCGGCTAAGTTTATCATGTGGAGTACTACAACAGGTTCTCAATGAATCAAGTCCTTGACCCCCCATTGGAGTGTGCTTTATGAAGAAGATGTAAGATATACATCAATTTCTCATTTTTCATTAATGTCTTATCAATCATTATTTAGCAAATAGTTTATGGGCTATAACTGAGATGTAATATTAATAAAACAGTTAAATGGTCATAAGTCTCACATTGTGAACATTCTTGTCAATAATGCTCCTGGAGTTCTCAACCTGGTCACGAAAGTTATATCCACAAAGGGTTACAACATCCAGGTTTGGTTTTTTTATCCTTATAGTATAATTTTTTAGGTGAAATGCTTACTTTTTTTAAATAAAAACATTTAAAAATAAAAAAAATGTCAACTTAACATGGTTAGTCTAATGGATTTCCAGGCATTAGACAAGTGTCAACTTAAAACTACCATCATGAATCTTCTACATTTGCCCAACCTAAACTTTAAATATCATATTTGTCCTTCTTAATGTTTTAAAATATCAAATTTGTCCAAATCTGTTTTTTAAATAGTTTTTATTATTTAATAAACCATTTTTACATTTTAAAATCACTAAAATTGAAAATAATAACTTAATGGACCATAATACCCTTCCTTTTTAAATTGTAGGAATATTTCCGGCAAGGTTTTATGCTTTGGTTGTCTTCCTCAATTCGTCTTCCACTCTTCCTCATGATCACCTGTGGACATTCGCCTCTAGACATCTTCCTTTTTGCCTCTCATCGCTTCCTTCTTGCAATTTTTAATAAGCACCAGGTAATTATTCCCTTTCCACATATCCCTTTCTTTTTTGGAAACTGAATGAACACTTATGCATCTACAATATTGAATTCTTGAAACCCTGTAGTATCTTCACAATGCCTTTTACATATATGTCATTCGATTAGGTTAATAATCCAAAGCAAAGACTTAATTTTGGTTCTGGACTTCTAATTTTCATTTAAATCGCAGGTTAGCATACAGTGGTGTTAAGGTCAATTTAAGATAATATCTTTGTCAGGTTGCTTATTGCATTTAGATAGCAATGATAACCATATAAAACCAAGGAAATTGAGTTATTTGCTATCAAATGCCAAATGTGTTTCGGGGAATAAAATTCCTACTATTGACAGGAAGAGATACATGGAGCAATTAGAATACCTTTTCTATACTTTGTAGGTAATACTTCAGTATAAGTCTCTATAATAATCCCTTTAGAGGTAAACAAATTGGTATATAACTCAATTCTTTTCACTGGGGTTTTTTACTGTTTGATTCAGTTGAATGTTTTTTATACCCAGGTTGGTGGTAGCAGCAGGGGACAAAATGCACCCACCCAGGTAAAAACTCACATAGTGGCTTTTTGTCTTGATTTATCTAGTTCTAGTTGTAGATTTGAATGATATATCGGATGGTTTTGACTGAGTTTTCTATGTGAGTCCAGATTTTATGGTTCATTGCACATCACAGCTAGTAAACGGATTCATGTGATTTAGAAGGTAAGGGTATTGTTGTCCATTTAGTTATTTTTCAATTTTAATTATTTTAAAATGTAAAAAAGGATTACCAAATAAAAAAAACTATTTAAAAAATAGATTTGGGCAAATTAGATATTTTAAAACATTAATACTGGCAAATATGATATTTAGAGTTTAGGTCGGGAAAATACGATATTTAAACATTTAATAAGGGTATATACGAAATTCTCCCTAAATTTTTTGTCTGGGGTTTAGTGATTGTGTTTTTGGAAGCTACCAATTATCAAATAAAGAAGGAAGTGTACAAACCTTAGGATAATAACATTTCAATTGTTTATAATATAATTAATATTATACAGTTTTCATGACACAGAAAGTTATAAATGGAAGTGTTGTTAATTACTGGGCTTGTATCAACTTCTCAAGAATTATTCTAGATGGTGCTGCTCACAGTTTTTGTCATCAGTTGGTCCAAATGTGCCAAGAATCTGGCATGATATGTATATAATCAACTCAAATATTATCTTTCATAACTTAAATATTTCAATTATAAACAAAATTTTGGAAATTTCATGAATTTAAAAGTGAAAGTGTGGTTCCAGTCAACTCTGCAAGACTAGATCAGGTCAAGAAGGCTTTAAAGCACATGTATATAGCCACTGTAAGGCTTTAAAGCACGTGTATACAACCAATGTGTAGCTCTTTCCATAAACATCTTTTGAAAATGGTTTCTCAGTGTTTCTTTCATGGATGCAGTTTCTTGGAAATTGATCTAGGCCATTTGAAAGGGACCAATGAAGTTAGTTGGCATGGACCTGCGGAAGATCAAGCATATGTTCATCGTGACTACTTTCTTGGATTTCCTTTTCACTAGCTGTCTTGTCATGAATTTGGGTGAACAACATATCCTCCCTCCTCATTTTCGTGACATAAACTAAACTGAGTTAATTCATGTTGCAACTCCTTACATTATGATGACATTAAATTTTGATATACGTGGGTTTAGACCATTTAGTGGAACAAAGTTTTCTTCTTCAGAATCCATTAACTTCACTACTGACATTTCTAAAGGTGATGCACACTTTTTTTCTTCTTAATCGATTTCTTTTACTATGTTTTGAAACAGTTGTACACTTGTTTTAATAGTGATGCACACTTCTTTTAAAGGTGTCATTGTTCTCATTTAGTTAGTTGTTCTCATTTGGTAGGTTTAAAAGAAGAATGTCCCAATAAGAATTAATTTAAAAGTAGAATGAAAATGACAAGTGATCTTATTTTGTGTTTACAGGGTTGATGAAAGCGAATAGCTCAGGAGTTAGAAGATGAAAAGAAAGCTCAAGCTGAAAGAGATAAGATGCTGCAAATGCAAGTGTTGCATTCTCCATTTCAATTGTTAGTATCCAACACATACTAGATTAGATGAATGCAAATTTATATATTGTAAGAAATAGAATTATATGACATTAAATTTTATGCAATGGATTGTATTTTCTTATATGGTATTTTATTTCTATTATGAGACAGTAAAAGTAAATCTAATTAAAAAATTAATAAATATATAAATATATTTTTTAAAACATTTAAATTTACGATACACAAAAATGTGTGCCATCTTCATTTATGTCATGACCTTTCTTGACAGGGGTTTTAATGATATGCATTGCGTGTCATTAACAGGCGCTCATAAGGTTACGACACGCGAATGGTTGTCGTCTTCCTTTATGATAGGGCCTTCCTTGCTATGCATTGCGTGTCGTAAACATGCGTCGTAATTGTGCATCGTAAATGAGCGTCGTAAAAGCGCATCGTCTATAGACGACATGCAAAAGCGCGTCGTCTCTCTTTATGACAGGGCCATCCTTGACGCGCATTTGCGCGTCGTTTGAGCCTTTTACGAAGCGCAATGAGCGTCGTAAAAGGCTGTTTTTCTAGTAGTGTCAATCAGGCTGATACATCCAATCAAGTCACAAGCTACCCTACTCTTCTCATATTGGGTAAAGAGTTATCTGCTTGGTCCATCTATAATAGCAAAGGTACTTTCGATTCTTTAACCTTTCTTTATCTCATTTCGGTTCATAATCGTAACCCTTGAGACTCTCAGCATTTACCACTCAGATTTATGGTTACACAACATTTGTGTTGACGGTCTTAGTTTCGTTCCACCATGTGCTAAGGGATACCCAAAAGCCAATTCCTTAAATGAATTGACGGTGAACACTCCAAAGTTCTAGTTTTTCAACCATGAATTAACGAAACCACTTTGATGGTCTGTACCTTGAAATCTTTTTATTTTTGTGTGATCTTTATGAAATTGTCGAACACCAAGACATTTCTTCCCAAAAGATCTAGTTTTATTTTTTTTAAGATTTCAACATTATTATCACCAACTCACTAAAATTATGCAAAGCTACTTGTTTTATAGGCCACATCGATCTCACAAGTACTTCATCCAACTTTCGGTCTTATGTCAAGTACTGAAGTTCGGTTGAAGCTAAGCGCCTTATAGCTTAAATTTGAAAGATGCCTTTCAATGTTTCTTATTAAACATTTGATCGTATTTCATCGGGAAACCACACAGACAATTCTAAGTCTCTCTTGACTTTGAAGGAAGCGATTCGTACTCGGGATCCATAGTTTCGTGTCTAAGTTGACATCACTTAAATCCCATGAATACTTTGCTTTATTTCATTTCAATTGGCACACTCTTGCACGAAGATCTTTATAATTTATGCTAATTCTTTTTCGTGGTACTAATGACGATTTTTCAGAGTTGATGCTTCAGTTGTAAATGCTATGCTGGTACACTATGTTAAGGCGCGAACATTGCCAGCCATATATAAAGCGAAAGGGTTTGTCACAGTTTGAAAAGGAATTCTAAAAATTTTTGAAGTTGAAAAGGCGGTAACAAGATTAAATTTCAATCTGATTCATTGGATAAGATTTCCAACGGGCACGTGAATTTGAAATGGTTCCTAACATCACACCTGATGACGTCTTCCTTGGGAAACGCAACTGTCAAATTGTGCTTTTTCAGGCGCCGATTCAGAAGTCCGTATCATCATTACCCCAGATTCTTACTCTCTCCTGGAAATGGTATATAAGGTCTTCTCACACCCCTTGTACCACTTTACCACTTCCAAACTCTCTGAGGAAGACACCGGCAAATTTCTATTGTTCATCTTCTTCTTTACACTTGAAACAATGGCTGAATCTTCATCAGTTCATGAACAAATAGCTTCATCTTCTCTGTTGACCATCAAACCCAATCAAAACCTGATTATTGATCTGAACCCTTTCCTTTACGATCGATACATGCTTCAAGTGGTTAAATGCCTCAAATATTCACCAATTGTAATTGCTTTAACCCAAGTGGAATCGGTACCCATGTCTCTACTATCCTAAGTGTATTCATTAGCGTCCAATGACAAACAAAAGGAAAGAATCTACTTCGAGATTTTCAATCACAAGTCTTCTGTCACACCCCGAAAACCTAAGGCGGAAACATTTCCGGGGCGGACTCCACGTTGAGTATCAAATCCAATGCACATAGTAAGCAAAGTAAACAACCATTACATTACATATCAAAGTTTCCATTTGTTCAAAAGTAAAGTTGTACGTTTATGATACATAGTATATACGAACAAAAGTAGATACGAGTCTTCTGTACGCTCCGTTTTCTCCAAAAGGATCGCTAGGTACTTGTCTAATGTAGACCTGAGAATACAAGTAGTTTGAAAATCAGCATAAAGCTGGTGAGTTTATAAGGTGTTTGTTTTCTGAAAATGTATGAATTTCCTTTGGTTTATCGAAAAGTTTGTTATCCAAGAAAATCCCATATTTTCTTAAAAGTAATGTTTGATTAGTTGTTAGGTTACACGGTTCTGATTATGTTTAACTATGATCCTAGAAAAGTCCCATACTTTCCTGATTGTATGTTACCAATTGTGAAAGATATAAAGTTATCTGGTTTATTACACTATTCTAGTTATGTAACGTTCCCCAGGAAAGTCCCATACTTTCCTAAAAGTAAGTTTAGTTATTGAATTTCGAGTTCTAGAGATTGATTTCCATTCGTACCTATTGTATTAACTAGGTATTCTGATATCCTAATGGTGTTACACTGGAGTGTACCTAGATACGTGTCTTCGTATTTGTATTCCTATTCTTAATCATATTCATATACTTATTCGTATTCGTATTCGTATTCATATTCGTATTCGTATTCGTATTCCTAGTCCTATTCCTAATCCTATTCGTATTTGTATTCGTATTCGCAGTCGTATTCCTATCCCTAATCCTACTCCTAATACAATTAGTATTCGTATTCGTATTCGTATTCAAAGTCGTATTTCTATCCCTAATCCTACTCCTAATACTATTCGTATTCATATTGGTATTCGTATTCGCATTCGCAGTCGTATTCGTATCCCTAATATTACTCCTAATACTATTCGTATTCGTATTCGTATTCGCAGTCGTTTTCCTATCCCTAATCCTACTCCTAATACTATTCGTATTCGTATTCGTATTCGCAGTCGTATTCATATCCCTAATCTTACTCCTAATACTATTCGTATTCGTATTCGTATTCGTTCTAATTGATGATTAGTATGAATTATTCGCAGATTATGAAATAAAATTTAGATTGTAATACTTTACCAAGAAATCTATGATTAATCTGAAAGCTAACTTCGTAATTCGAACTATTTGATAAACACAGTTTTTGATATTAGATCATACAGAATGAAAACAATCAAACTGAAAATAATAAGTTTGAGTACAAGATTTCCTTGTACTTTTGCTTGTATTCCCCCCCCCCCCTGAAAACAACGAAAACATTTGAAAAAGGGTAGGGGTATGAACTCACCGGTCGAGAAGCGTGTCGGATTGGATGCTAAGTATCGGTTCGGGGCTTGATAACGCGTGAGGTTCCTATGTAATATGAAATGATATGCAAATGTATCTAATTAGACTATAAATCTCTAATTAGATATGATTATACACTCCAAGACACGAAAACACTTCAAATCAAGTGTTTGGAGTGACCCGGGTGACATCTAGGGACGTATAAGGCTCGGATATGGAGTTTACTCCTCAAGAGTAAAATCATAAGAGGGTTTATGGTTCTAAGGACTCATTCCCCATGAGTTTACCGCCGTAAACTCATGGGTGGTGTGTTATTGGATGCCACAAAGTCTTACAATGCACACGGGAAAGTCCTAGGGTTGATTCCATGGCTTAGGAAGTGATCAGGACTTGAAATGGTCTTGGAAATGAGTTTAAGGTCTAAGGAGATGTTCTTGGGGAGTTTACTACCTTAAACTCATGAGTTTACAACCGTAAACTCATGTTTGTCCATGAATTAAGGGCTTTGATGGTTGTAATTCAATCATATGTGATTCTAGGTCCAAAACTAAGCTTTTCAAGGGATTAAACGCACCTTACCACCCTTTGTTGGGTGTTTACGGCCTAAGGAGGTGGGTTTATCGTCCAAGAATGTTCTTGGATTGTAAACTCATGTTTGGTCCCTTCTTGTATGATTTGGTGCTTCAAATGATGGAGTAGAGGGTCCTAGACACGTTTGGAAACTTGTGGTGGTGTTTAAGGGCATTTTAACACCTTAAAAGGAGTTTATGGTTCATGCATGGGGGTTTATGGTCCAAGAAGGTTCTTGGGTAGTAAACTCATGTTCATACATCAAATATCATGATTTTGGGGTCCTTAGTCCATGCATGCAAGTTTCTAAGTCGAATCTAAGCCCTAGAAGTGTTTTGGAAGGGTTTTATGGCACAAAAACCCCATTTTCATGAGTTCACGGCCTAGGGATGTTCTAGGACCGTAAACTCATGCTAATGGTCCTAATCCTCATAAAAA